TATAGTGCATAGCTTGCCACACACATATGGCAACACACGTGCGAGGCCACATAGAGTCCACCACAGAGACTGCACCACATTGTCTGCGCCACCGACACTGCGCCACATATATGGAACCACGTAGGTTGCACCATACCCATTGCGCCCCGTACACTGGGCCACATAGCTTGCACCACCAATATGGCACTGGATACATCACTTGCTCCACGTATCTTGCACCACCTACCTTGCGCCACGCAGATTGCATCACCTAGCAGGCTAATTAGAACACAACTTGTTGGGGCCCACGATGGCTAACGCGCATCGTGTGGGCGCCACGCAGATTGCATCACCTAGCAGGCTAATTAGAACACAACTTGTTGGGGCCCACGATGGCTAACGCGCATCGTGTGGGATGTTTGTGAGGATAGCTTGGATCGGCGCTGGGATCCTGTCTGTGCCGTTTCTGATCCCCTTGGGCGCGCATCTTCGTCGCGCCCTCGCCCTCCCCAGATCATTGAGTACCGAGTTTTTTTGGTCGCGATCGGTAGCGACCGATTGGCACTCCAAATCGGTCGCCACCGATCGCGACCGATCCCAGAATCGGTCGCGACGGGTCGCCACCGATCGGTCGCGACCGATTTTGAAGCGGATCGGTCGCGAACGATACGGAAATGTGGGAGCAGAAATCGGTAGCGACCGTTCTCGTCGGTCGCGACGTGTGAGGCGAGCGCTTCTTTGTGATGTGTGCCGTGGCCCATCCAACTACGTGGGCCCACCCGCGCACGCACGCGCGCACGCACGGACACACCTCGTATCCCCCCGACTCCTGCACCCCTCCTCCTTCGTCCTCGACCCACGCTCCTCGACCCGGCCAAGCGTGATCGAGCACCCGCCGCTACAGTCGGGGCGCTGAAGAAGGAACCCTTTTCGTTTGGGAGGGGCTCCGTGTTCCTTAGTTGTTTTACAGTGCTCCAATTGGGTTTTACCGAGGTGTTCCATGGGAAATGGGAGTGTAACTTCTGGGAAAGAGGGGCCTCGTTCCTGATTTAGGGTTCCTTGGGTCAACGCCCCAACTGTAACTGGGATCCTGCCGCTGCAGTGCCCGAACGATCGGGGTCGGCGGCGCTCCCGGCGGACCGCCCGGCGGAGCGCCCGGCGGGAGAGAGTGACGCGGAGGGTCGCCGGCGGAGGGCCGCTGGCGGAGGGCCTCGGCGGCGGAGGGCCGCGGCGGAGGGCTGCCGGCGGAGGGCGGCGGAGGCAGGGCACGGAAAGAGTGGGTACAATGCGCAGAGCGAGGTACGCGCCTGGGCGTCTTTTGATGGTTAGCCCCGCCGAGTTACAGTCCCCGAGTTCTGGAGGTCCGCAATGCTTCCCTGGCTTTTTGTTCTTCTCCCGCGCAGGCGACGGCACTGTGCCTCGATGTGAGCACTGCGGATCACCACGGCAAGACTGCGCCCCCGAGTGCCACTGGCAGGCGGGGGAAACAACACCCGGGGAGGAGTGGAGATCTGGACGCCCGACATGGGTACGGAAAGAATGGGTACAATGCCCAACAGCAGTTCCTGTTCATTCTGAACAGGACTCGCTGTCCACGCCGCCGCGGCCTGTGTCCATTCGAGCCAGAAGGCCGCCTGCCCAACAGCGGCCGCTGTTGGTTTGGGGCAACATTTGTTGTTGGGCATTGTGCCCATTCTTTCCGTCGGCGGAGGGCGGCGGAAGCAGGGCACGAGCCGGCAGAGTCTTTGGGCATAGGTCGGGCGTGGCCCTCTGCCGGAGGAAGGTTCGGAGATAGTCAAGAAATCGTGCGGGGACGGTGTGTTGAGTTGTGGTTTTCCCTCTCCCCCCCCTCTCCGAATTTTGATTTTGTTGGGGCGTATTGTTCAGTTGTCCTCCAAAATCCGCCTGCAGGGGGGCACGAGCCGGCAGAGTCTTTGGGCAGGTCGGGCGTGTCCTTCTACCGGAGGAAGATTTCAGGGGTGGGCAGAGACCCCACCCCGACACGTCGATCAGTGAGATGTCCGTCTTCGGTTCTCGAGAGGGCGCCGCGGCCGTCATGTTCCAGGCTTGCGCCCGCCAGGTTTGGGCCCGAGGTCGTTTTCACTAAACCACTTTTTACTAAAGGGGGTTCTGTCCATCCCCGAATATTCGCAAGTAGAACAAATAAGTCTGGGGACGATGTGTTGAGTTGTTTCCCCCCCTCTGATTTTTTTGAGTTTTTTGGGGGTATTGTTCATTTGTCATCCAAAATCCGCCTGTAGGGGGGCACGCCCGACCTAGTGTTTGGTGGGTCCAGTCAGCCGCACATGTCAGGAGGGAAAAACACACAGGCACAGTGAATCGTCGATCCCCCAGCAAGAATATGGGAAGCTATGGGAAGTGGTTTGGGGGGGAAGACGAAAACCCCGAGGATGCGGGGATCTGTGGGGAATCCTGCCATTTGTGTCTGCTCATTTGCGTGTCCCGGGGCCCCTTCGGCATGGTCCAGCACGTGAGGAGTCCGGGTCGCGTCCCTCGCTCTTGCCCGCGCGGGCGGGGGCTGCCTGGGAGAGCCCGGGCCCCCAGGGCACCCTTCCCGCAGCTTCGAGGCCGCAGGGCCGGACCTTCCCGCCTCCTCCCCCTCCTATACTCCCTCCCGCCTCCTGCCTCCCTCCTATCTCCTCTCTCCACCCTGCGCCTCTTTCTCGTGTACTTTCCCCCGCCCTCCTCTCTATCCTCCCTCGTCCTCCACTTCCTCCCCCCTCCTCCCCCTCCTCCTCCCCCTCCTCCTCCTTCTCCTCCTCCTCCTCCTCCTCCTCCTCCTCCAATCTCCCCCCTCATCTTCCCTCCTCGTCTTCCCTCCTCCTGTGCCCGAGCACTCTCTCTCTCTCTCTCTCTCTCCCTTCCTCGCTCCCCCTTCGCCTCCTCCTCGGCATCCCGCCCCCTCCTCCCCTCCGCTTGCTCCTTCCTCGCCTCGTTCGCGCCGCCTCCGGCCTCGCGCCGCGGGGGCGGGCCCCGCAGGCCATCAACGACTGGGTGGAGGCCGGCATGCGCGCGCCTGCCGCCGCCCACCCTGCACCCGCCCTGGGTGCGAGCGAGGCCTGGACAGGCTTACACGCCGGTCGTTGAAAGTAGGTATTCTTGGATTCCCGGATTCCCAGATCCCAATCTACTTCAAGCGCCTTCCTGCGTCAAGAATCGACATGCTCTTGCTGTGTTTTGTTGTTCTCTGGGAGGACCTGGACCCAGTCCACTATGTCCGCCTTCCTACTTCATGTTTCTACCTACTTCTTCCGACCGACGTGCAAGTCGGGCGTGTCCCTCTACTGGAGGAACATTCAAAAATAATTAAAAAAATCGTCAGGGGACGATTTTCGGAGTGTTTTTTGATCATGTTTGATTTCTTTTGAGCATTTCAATTTTTCATTCAAAATCCCCCTGCAGCCAGGGGACATGCCCGACCCAACGACAGGCCCAGGGCATGGGGCCTGGGGATACAGTCGAGGTTGATTGGCGGTCGAAGCAGAAAAAACGCCACAGACATACGCTGTTGGCGCTCCGCGCGGACTTCTCGGATCCGCGACAAGGTTTCCCAGGTGGCGCCGGCGCCGCCCCTGGCGCGCTCCGCGCGCCGGCGACGGGGGCCCAGCGCGGATCCAAGAAATCCGCGCGGGGCGCCAGCAGTGTATGTTTATGGCGTTTTTTCTCCTCCTAGGTAGGTCGACCCTGCCAAGTCAAGGGTATCCTTGAGCCCTGTGTCTCGCGACCCAGGCCTTCTGCATTCCTATGGCAGGGTGGCCCTCGGAAGGCTCCTCTCGTGTCATCTCGCGTGTCCTCTCCAATCAGCCCCGACTGTAGGCCTGGAGGGTAGGCCTGTGTAAGCCCAGGTCTGGTCTGGCGGGCGGAACAGTAAAGCGTGATGCAACACCGGGCGGGCCAAAGTCTCCAGCGGGCGGGTCGGGTTGGGCTGGCGGGGGTTATGGGGCGGGTCGGGTCGGGTGGGGCCCCCTGCGGATTTCTTCCATCGGCTCTATTGCCAACGCCCTTTGATGCCTCAACCACTGCGAGTTCTCGTTCTTCGCCCTAGGGCCTACTGGTGGTTGGTGCTCTATTGCTGGTGCACCATGAGGGCACGTGTTCTCGCTTTCACATTGGTGCCGTGCGGGTGGCGTTCAATTGCCGGTGCTCCATCGGCGGCGAGTTCTCGCCGCCCTGGCAACCAATCGGTGGTGCTCTATGGCTGCTGCATTAACCCCAGCCCCTGGATAATAAAGCAACCCCCCCTTTCCTCTTGTATCTCTTCATCCACGGGTTTGAAGGTGGTTCACTTGAAGCAGCAGGCGAGGAGGCTGATTTTGATTAGCTCTGATTGTGAGGATGTCTCAGGCGAAACGCGATCCAGACATCCTAACAACGATATCTCCGGGAAGCATTTTTTTTCTCCCGCCCTTACCCCGAACTTCACCATCTCTCACCAGGTAATGGTTATTTGGTCGCGAGTTCTCGCTGCCCTGGCAACCCATGGGTGGTGCTCTATGCCAGGTGCGCTCTCTGCTTGCGAGTTCTCGTTCTTGCCCTGGTGCCATGTGGGTGCCGAGCTGTGCCTGGTGCGCCACTGTCTGGTCGCGAGTTCTCCTTCTCGCCCGGGTGCCCTATACGTTGTGCTGCATGGGCGCGACACCCTTCCTCAGGGTCCGCCCGCTGGCCCCGACCCGCCCCGAAGAGGAGGACGATGCGCAGCAGCAGGACGAGGAGACAGCCGAGGAGGAGCTGGAGGAGGAGGAGGAGGAGGAGGAGGAGGAGGAGGACCAGGAGGAGGAGGAGGAGGAGGAGGAGGAGGAGGAGGACCAGGAGGAGGAGGAGGAGGACCAGGAGGAGGAGGAGGAGGAGGAGGAGGAGAGGAGGGGGAGGAGGAGGAGGAGGAGGAGGAGGGGAGGGAGGGGGGGGAGGAGGGAGGAGGAGGAGGAGGAGGAGGAGGAGGAGGAGGAGGAGGAGGAGGAGGAGGACGGAGAGCACGAGGAGGAGCGCAGGACCGGCGCCTGATGCTGGACAGTTTCCTGATCTTCGTGGACTTGGACGGCGTGCCCCGCCTCCTCCGGCGGCCTCGCGATCGCTTGGAAGGGGCCTCGCGTTCCAGGTCTCTTCCGATCTGGCTCCTCTCCACCATCGAGGTCCCATGTCCAAGGATTTGCTGCGAGGCTGCATCTCTATACTTCGGATGCAGCTCCTGGCTGGTCAAACTCTCAGTTTTCCTTGGTCTGGAATCGGCTTCATCCGGATGAATCCTGCTCAATCTGGTTTCATTCCGCTCAAGCCGGTTTAATCCCGCTTAATCCACGGCCTAATCTGGCGTAGCAGCCCCCCCAATGGGGTTCAATTCTCCCTAATCCTTCCGACGAAGACCTCCCCGTAGTTGCTTCCTAGTCTATACTACTAACTATGGTTGCTGATCTGATGTATTTTGACTGCTGTCGCCATTCCCCCACGGTGATCTTGCTGCCACACACGGGCTTTGCGTGCTGACCTGCCCTCTATGTCTGCCTTGGTGGACATCAGGCAGGCTCATCGTCGCGCTGTGGCCAGAAGGTGCACCAGGACACGTCTGGGGGTCGACCCTGAGAAGCATGCATCCAGCGCCTTAGCAAACATGAAGGCGCAGGTCTTTCTCCCATTTGCGTCCTCCAGGGTCGGCTTCTTCTTGTGCCCCAGCGGGCGTCAAAAACCTCCACCCCCTTCCTCTCTCCCTCTCTCCCTCTCTCCTCCTCTCTCCCCTGTCGCTCCTCCGGCTCTCTCCCCCTCCTCCCTTCCCCTCGCTTCCTCCCTCCCTCCTCCCTCTGCAGGCGATTGCGTCACCTGTGCCTGTCCCGCTCGCCGTTGCTTTGTTCCGACCACCCCCGCCCCCTTCGCCCCTCCCCCCTCCCGCTCCCCCCCATGGGCCCCCGACGCCGCCGTGGCTTTCTTCACAGCGTGGAACCCCCGAGGACGCGACCCCTAGCCCTCTCACCGGGTGGTCATCCCCCGGGAGGCCAGACATCAAGGGCGCCCTCGAGGGTTATTCGCGCTTCGCGCTTCGCGCTTCGGCTCCGATTCCTCCTCACCCTCCACTTCTCCCCTGGGAGGCGGCGCGAGAGCGCGGAGTTCTTCGCACTTCGCGCTTCGCGCAGCGCGAAGCGCGAAGTTGGGAGCCCTTGGACATGGTACAGTCGGGGCGCTGAAGAAGGAACCCTTTTCGTTGGGGAGGGGCTACGTGTTCCTTGATTGTTTCACAGCTTGCCCTAGGTTTTCCTCAGGTTTTCGATGGGGAATCGAACCTTGACTGATGGGAAAAAAGGGCCTCGTTCCTTATTTAGGGTTCCTCAGGTCAACGTCCCGACTGGAAGCCTTCGTCGCGATCTCTTCACGGCGCGCGTGGGCCCGGGCCGAGGCCCCTTGCCCCCCCCTGCTGCGGGCTCCTGCGCGGCGGGGCCCCGGCCGAGCCATGCCCCTGACCATCGCCTCCGCCACGCGGCGTCCCTCCGCGGGCGGCGCGGGAGGCCGCCGGGCGGCTCGAGCCGGCGGGAGCGGGCGCTGTCCCCCCTCGGCGATTCCGGCGAGTCGTCTCCCCGCCCTCCTCGCGACCCCCCCTGCCACCCCACACTTCTGGGGGGAGGCGCGGGGTGAGCCTCGCCTTTTCCTCCTGCCCCCTTCTTTCCCCTCCCCTCCCCTTCTTTTCCTCCTCCTCCCACTCTCCTCCTAACTTTTTACATGTCTCGCATTGCACGAATCCAGACAGCTCAGATCCTAGAGGCCATGGCCTCACCCACCTGGTCTGCTCTAAGCCCGGACGCTGTCCACAACGGTGGTCGCATCACATCGCATCGCATCGCATCACACCCCCTCCTACCCTCAAAGAGACGGAAAGCATGCAGGCACACAGGCCTTCGGAGACCCACGCAGCTCCCTCGGATCGGCGCTTGCCCAGACGTTGGCAGGGCCTCCGAGGAGACACTACGCGTCGTCTGGCCCGCCGAGGGGCTCGGTGTACAGACGCACGAGCTTCTCGAGCCATGGCATTTTGGAGCGTCTACGCTATGGGGACAGCAAGGGTATTGGTATACCGCCACTGCCTGGAGCTCTCCAGGGGTGCACTCTGCCCAACATCTCGAGGGGAACCCAGCGGTGGCGGGGCATAAACATACAAGCTCGGAGGTCCGCGCGGATTTCTTGGATCCGCGCTGGGTCCCCCTCACTGGCGCGCGGAGCGCGCCAGGGGCGGCGCCGGAGGCGCCGCCAGGAGGCCCCCGGCGCCGATCCGAGAAATCCGCGCGGACCTCCGAGCTTCTATGTTTATGTCACTGTTCGTTCCCTTGTCCTCCTCGTGAGATCCACCGAGCTCCTTCGCCAGAGCGGGCGTCCCCGTGGCCGACCAGACTGCGCGGCACTTACCACCGAGCCCCTCCGAGGGGAGGCGCGCCGCGCAGGCCCGGCGCACCACCCGCGGCCGCGGTGCCCCGTCGTCGTCGTCGTCGTCGTCGTCGTCGTCGTCGTCGTCGTCGTCGTCGTCGTCGTCGTCGTCGTCGTCGTCGTCCCCTCAGCCTCTCCCGTTGCGGCGCGAGGACGGCAACGGCTGCATCAGCGAGTCCGAGCTGCAGGCGGCCCGCCGGCTTCTTTTCTGGCGGCGGCCCGCCGAGCTCGGCGGCGCGCAGATGGGCGCGAGCCGACAGGTGAGCAGAGGCTGTTGGTGACCTCTTCAGCCCCGACGACGACGACGACGACGACGACGACGACGACGACGACGACGACGACGACGACGACGACGACAAAGGGGCACCGCGGCCGCGGGTGGTGCGCCCGGCCTGCGCGGCGCGCCTCCCCTCGGAGGGGCTCGGCGGCGCGCAGATCGGCACGAGCCGACAGGTGAGCAGAGGCTGTTGGTTCGGGGGTGGACAGAACCCCCAACAGTGATACGTCGATCAGTGAATTGTCCGTTTTCAGTTCTCGAGAGGGCGCCGTGGCCGTCATTTTCCAGGCCTGCGCCCGCCAGGTTTGGGCCTCAGGTTGTTTTCACTGAACCACGTTTTACTAGACGGGGGTCTGTCCAGCCCCGATTGGTGACCTCTTCGGCCTCCAGGTGGCCTCTTCGGCCCTCTTCGGCCTACGCAGGGGTGGCCCGACTCCTGCGGCCCTCGTCGGCCTCCTGGTGGCCTCGGACGGCTTCGGGGCGGCTTCGAATAGCCTCGGGATGGCTTCGGATAGCCTCGGCTAGCCGCGGAATTGTCTCCGCAGATCGGTACAGTCGAAGTTCGAAAAGCAAAACACGGCGCAAACATGGTTTCTTGGAGTTCGACGGAGCAAGTCTGGTCCCGAAGGGGCTTCGGGGTCCTCACGGGCGTCCTGCCAGGCGGGCCGGCAGAGCACCCCGGCCAGGCCACGGGGAGACAGCGGATTCCCGGATTCGCGATTGGTTCTGGACTCCTCGTCCTTTGTGCTCCTCCTCCTCCTCCTCCTCCATCTCGACCTCCTCCTTCCCCTCCTTCTCCTCGGCTGCCTGCAGGCAGTGGCAATATTCGAATTTTGAGAGCGGCGTGAGCATATAAATTCTCGTAGGCCATCGCGGGCCTCCGAGAAATGATGCTTACTTGCGCAACGTGTTCTCCTCTTGCGCGGAACGGTCGTTGCCCGCCCCCCGGGTAACGATATCGATCGTACGTTGGGGGGGGTGGACGACCTTCGACCCCCTCCTTCCTCCCCCTCCTCCTCCTCCTCCTAGCCCTCCTGTCCTCCTGGCCCTCCTCGTCATCTTCGTTCTCCAAAAGCGTTCTCGTCGCCGCGGTTTCATTCGCTTCAAGTCCAGGGGTCCATTCTGGAGCCCGAGACCCACACCTCCAACGTCGTGGAGATTCCACGGCTGGCGTTTTTCGCGAGACTCGGCCTCCTGGAAGCCGCTTGCGAGACCCAGGACCTTCAAACGCAATCAGAGACGAGAGCCAGGTCCTTTAGGAGGTGGTCAAGAGCTCGGGGACTGGCGCGCTGCGGGTGTCTCGGCCCCGGGCACGGCTCTCTTTGCGACTCGCGCCCGTTTGGAATTGAGGAGGCTTGCCTTTTCGATCTCGCTGTAGGGCCTGCAGCTGCTTGGGGCAGAGGAGGAGGAAGAGGAGAGGGAGGAAGAGGGAGCAGGAGGAGGAGGAGGTGGAGGAGGAGGAGGAGGATGAGGAGGAGTAGACTCGCGTTTTCTCACTAGGCGGTGCCATGGCTGCTATCTCTGTTATCCCTCCTCTCATCCTCCTCCTCCTCCTCCTCCTCTTCATCATCATCATCATCATCATCATCATCATCATCATCATCATCATCATCATCATCATCATCATCATCATCATCCTGGAAGAGGAGCACCTCCTCCTTCTCCTCCTCCTTCTCCTCCCTCCTCCCTCAGGTCTGGACCTCCAGCGCAGTGCAGAATGGAGGCCCCCATTGGCTCCTCCGGGCTCCATTGGTGGCGCCCCTGGTGGCCGGCCCCATAGCGGGGCACGGCCGAAGCAGAAACGGGCCACGAGGTGTTTAGGCGCTTGGCAGGGGCGTATATGCTCAGAGGAGGAAAAGGTATACACGGGGCGTTCCCAAAAAGGCCTTGCCTTCGAGGATAGAAGGAGTTGTCATCTCTCCTTTGGCGGAAGGCGGCGGAAGGTCGGCGGAAGTAAAACGAGGCCGCCTCCGCCGTCGGAAGCCGGCGGAAAGCGGGCGGAAGGCGGCGGCAGTAGAAAATACGCCCCGAAGAGATGAAAGCGTTTCTGGGATCAGGGTTTCAGAAATCGCCCACGTATACCGCTGCCCTTCCCTCGTTTTCGCATCGTTGGGCCTCCTGGGAGGCCCTTGTCGCCACCGCTGGAGACTCGCCTCGACAGTCTGGTCAGGGCGCAGCCTAGGAGAGGCACGGCCTGGGGGGCCCAGCTGTTGGGGGCCCAGAGGCCCCGGCGTCCCCCGGGCAAGCGACCCAGGGCACGGAGGCCGTGCCAGGGATGGGGCGGAGGTGGTGAGAAGGGAAGGGAGGGAGCAGGACGAAAAGGAGGAGGGGATGAGTCGGAGTCGGAGTCGAAGGAGGAGGAGGAGGAGGAGGAGGAGGAGGAGGAGGAGGAGGAGGAGGAGGAGGAGGAGTGGAGTCGGAGTCGGAGTCGGAGGAGGAGGAGGAGGAGGAGGAGGAGGAGGAGGAGGGGTAATGAGAGGGAGTCGGAGGAGAATGACGAGGAAGGGAACAGAGAGGAGTCTGAGAAGAAGGCGGAGGAGGCGGTTGGCAGGGAGGATGTGTGCTTTTCAAAACATTATTCGCAGGCAGTCTCAAGGAATACGTCCTCTGGCGCGAGATCATTTGCGAGCGGCAGGGGCGACGACTGCGAGCACGGGGCTGCGTCAGCGGAGCTGGACTGACCATGAGCGCAGCCTGCTGGCCGAGGCGGTGCGGGCGACAGGGGAGGACGAGGAAGCGGAGGTGGACAGGTGGCCTCCCAGAGTGGGGTCCGACCAGACGGGGCCGGCGGGTCGCGCCGCAGCGCCGATGCATGTGGGCGGTGCAGCCCGGTGCGGGGCCCGAGTTTCTCCGCGCCGACGACGCCGATGCACCGCCGACATCGCCAAGGCATCGCCAGTGCAGTGGCGGTGCAGCAGCAGTGCGGCGGGGCCTTTCGACCTCACTTCCCGGGGCCCCACTTGAGCGACCGTAAGCAAACGGGGTCGTCGGCGCCGACATTCGCGCGTAAGCTGCCCGCGTAGGGTCGCGCGTGAGCGCCCGCGTCTCCAATCTAGCGAGCCGCGCTGGCGGCCCATCGTAATCCAGCGCGTGAGGTCGCTGTGCCATCTCGCGTAAGACCCTTTTTTGATCGTCGCTCATTTGACAGGCCGCCTCCAGACAGGGACAAAAACACCCCGACCCTTGCAATTGGCGCTTGCTAAGCATTCCCGGACGTCTGCTGAACAGCCCTGCCATGTTCGAGTCCGTGCCTGGGTTTCTGTGCCAAGTGGTCTCGTTGTTCGTGGGGATGCTTGTCGGTTCTTGCCCACCACGCTTCGGCGCGACACGCTATCCATCTATCAATTCTCTTGCATGGACCTGGGTTAACGATGTTTCGGGAATATTCATTTGGGTTCTTGATGCTCCTTCCTGGAACGTTATACACCTGGGTTTATAAGGTTCCAGGGATATTATCTTGAGTTCATAATGTCCCCCCGGAACATTCTGAAGCTGGATTTTTTCTGCTTTCGGGACCATAGCTCCAGAATCCCAATCCAATGTATTAGGTTTATTATGTTGGAGTTTTATTGCTGATTATTTGCCCCCATCCTCCCGTCACCAGGGGAGACTCATCATGTTCGAGTATCAAGCCCGTTTGAAGATTCCGGGAGCATTATACACTGGCGTTCATTATGCCGGAATGATACTAATCGAGTGGGGGGGGGCATTCGGTTCTTTCATTCTTATTTCCCCCGTCCCAGGGGGCCTCACAGGGAGACCATCAAGCGAGCTTTTTTGGGGGGAGGGATGAATAGGGACCCTGGTCTTCATTCTGGAAAAAGAATACTGGAACTGGGGGGGGGCATTTGCCACCAGCATCGAATGAAAATAGCCCTAGGCCTCTCCTTCCCTGGGTGCCTCCCGCTCCCAGGCGCCAGCACCCCGAGCCTTCCCGGCCTCACCCCCGCGGAGAGCAGAGCTGCACGCTTTCTCTGCTCGCAGGATCTAGCGTGCCGCCCGGGCCGCCGCCGCGACACGTTGAGCACACGTGCACACAGGAGGAGGAGGAGGAGGAGGAGGAGGAGGAGGAGGAGGAGGAGGAGGAGGAGGAGGAGGAGGAGGAGGAGGAGGAGGAGCTCTCTGCTCGCAGGATAGGGCGTGTCGCCAGGGCCCGTGTCAGATGATGGCCGCCCTCTCCGCCCTCCTCGACTGCCAGGCAGGCCTCGAGTCGAGACCCGTCGGTCCAGAGCGTTCCGGAGCGCCCCCCGGAGCGTTCTCCGGTGCGGCCGCGGCGCCCGAGCGACGCGCCGTCCTCCAGCCCCGCCGCTCCTCCGTGATTTTTTCTCGCCGCGCCTCCGTCCGGTTCTGGCTCGACCCGCTGCCCCCCCCCCTCCGGCCTTGCGCGGGCGGCGGCCCGCCAGTTCGCCGTGACGTTCATGAACTTCGAGAACCCGCCCACGAAGGCCCGCGGGCGCCCCGCGGGGGCCCAGCGCGCGGGAGGGCGGAGCGCCGCGGGAGGGGGGGGGCGTGTGGCGTGCCGCAGGGGCGCGCGCTCCGTGAGGTTTGGGGGGGGGCCCGCAGGCGGAGCGGGGGCCGGTGTGCCCAGGTCGAGGGTCCGTCTCCGAGGATCGGGGCCGTTTCGTTGCGGAGGGGCCGCTTGTCTCTCTCACCACGACTGCCACGGGTAGGAGAGGGAGGAGGAGGAGGAGGAGGAGGAGGAGGAGGAGGAGATAGGAGGAGGAGGAGATATGAGGAGGAGGAGGAGGAGGAGGAGGAGGAGGAGGAGGAGGAGGAGGAGGAGGAGGAGGAGGAGGAGGGGGAGGAGCAGGAGGGGAAGGAGGAGGATGGATAAAAAGAGGCAGCCGGAGGAGAATCACGAGGAGGTGGAGGAGGAGGAGCAGCAGCAGCAGGAGGACCTCCCCATGCCCCGTCCTGCCTGTGGTAGTTGTGGAAAGTTGGCCCATCATCTGCGTACCCGTTTTGTTCTGCATCCGTTTGGCTTTCCGCGGGTCTCTCGCAGGCCTCAATTCGGTTCCTCTGGTCAAGTTCGATTTGTTTTTTTGGACGGATTCCGATGCTGGTTCGATTCGGCTTGGGATTCCTATTTGGATTCCGATGTCTCAATGGCGTCTTGCTTGCTTGCCGTTTTCCACTGAATCGACTTCTCCCGACTCGGCTGCCGACTTCCGCCGATCCGACTCATTTCCGTCGCCGATGCGACCTATCGACTCGATTCTGGGCTCTTCTGTTTCGTCACAACGGCCAGGTCCACCTCGAAGACCTGGCCAGAACGCGACCTGGAACGGGGCTGGAGGTCGGTCTTTGGTGCGGGAACTTCACAGCCGGGCGTCGCAACGAACATCCCGAGGCGGGGGTGGCGTCGCGAAACTCATGAGCTGACGATTGGCACTTCTACGTATGCGACACCCAGACAGCTTGGGGTGGATTTTTTGGGGGGGCCAGTGGCCTGTGTTGTCGGATGTGGGCCCCCGCTCGAACGGGGCCCCTCCTCGGCCCTTCGGGGCCCGACAACTCGCACCCGTACCTGCAGCAGCTGCATCGCGTTGTCCCTCCGCCGCATCCCTCTTCTCTGTGGGTTTGAGGGCCTGTCTGCTCGCTCATCACAGAGGTGGCACCGTCAGAGGATCCCGGATCCACGCGCGGTTCTGGGCAGAGTGGAGCGCCCCCCCTCCCCCGTGCGCAGGCTCACACAGGGGGGCTTGGCATCGCTCGGACGCGTGCATTTTTCCTTCGGCGAGGGCCATCGAGGAGCATCCTTGATCATTTGGCGAAAAAAACACGCACGAAACCGAAAAAACACAGGGAATGGACGTCCGAGCGATGGTCAGGGGGGGGGTCTCGGCGCCAAGGGCGAGCCTCGCGCAGACGAGCGCGCCGCAGGTTGTTTTTCAGGCGCGCAGCGCTCGACTCTGGACCGCCCGCGGGCCCCCTGTGCCGTGGACGTAGGGGTGCTTGGCATCGCTCGGACGTGTGCTTTTTTCCTTCGGCGAGGACCATCGAGGAGCATCCTTGATCATTTGGCGAAAAAACGCGCACGAAACCGAACAAACACAGGGAATGGACGTCCGAGCGATGGCCAGGGTGAGATAAGTTCGAGTAGAGGGCGGACCCTAAACAGCGCGGTGTCCCGTGCGGTGGGCGCTGCAGATCTGCGCGGCGCAAGCTGCACGGGGCGAGGCCTGTGCTCTGCAATCCATGTGATGCAGCATCTGTGGTGCAAACTGTTATTAGCCCATCTGGTGCAAACCATGTGTGTGTGTGATTGTGTGTGTTGTGTGTGTGTGTGTGTTGTGTGTGTGTTGTGTGTGTGTGCGTGTGTGTGTGTGTGTGTGTGTGTGTGTGTGTGTGTGTGTGTGTGTGTGTGTGTGTGTGTGTGTGTGTGTGTGTGTGTGTGTGTGTGTGTGTGTGTGGGGGGGGTCAAGGTAGAGCTGTTCAGTTTTCTGGGGCCTCGGCCCAGCTATAGAGGGGGGGGGCAGAGCTCGCGCGCATACGTTTTTACGATGTCTGCGAGCACCCAGGGTGGGGGAACCGACATTTTGGAGTCCCGAGTGACGCCCCTCGGGGCCCTGAGGGCAGGCTCCGGGAGGTCTTCGTGGCGCCCCCCTCCTGCGGCCCAGCCCAGGTGCCGCCTGGCACCTGCCGAGGGGGGGAGGGCGCCGCGTGGAGCGATGAGGAGGTGCGAGGGGAGGCGGGGGAGGGGGGGATCGAAGAAGAACACACGCCATGAACAGAAACTGTCGGTGCCCCGCGTGGATTTCTTGGATCCGCGCTGGGCCCCCCCGGCGGCGCCTCTGGCGCCGCCCCGCTCCGCGCGCCAGGGAGGGGGTCCAGCGCAGATCCAAGAAGTCCGCGCCGATCGTCGAAAGTTCATGCTTGTGCAGTTTTTTCTTCTAGGGGTGCGAGGGTAGGTGGAGGGAGGGAGGGAGTTGGCGAATAATGCACAGCATCAGAGGCATGAGGTTGGGCGGGTGGCGGCGCCGCAAGGGGGACGTTTGCGCTCGGCGCGGTTCGAGGAGCCCTTGGCGCGGGCCCGCCGCAGGCCCCCCTTGGGTGCGCCTGCGCACAGGGGGGGGGCTGCTCGTGCTGTCCTCACCTGGGCCTCGTGCCACTCTCCGAGGACGTCTCGGACGACCAGGCCTCTCAGGTCCCAGATCGGTGTGGTGACGGACCGTGCGGTGAGGTCTGTGGGGATTCCGAGGTCACCGATCCGTCTGTCCCTTTGTGCGGTTCTGGGGCCCCGAAGCGTCAGGCCCTGGCGTCGCGCCGAGGCTCCCGACGAGGGGGCGTCGCGAAGAATGCTGCGCAGTGGGAGGCAGAGGGTCGCCACCCACCAAACCACCCCCACCCAGCCCGAAGGCCCCGATTTGCCCTCAATTTTCGGTGTGGGTGGGGGGGGGGGGGTCGGGGAACACTGAAGAAACACATGGGCCCCGCCCCTCCCCAAACCCGAAATTCGAGTCAAGTTCGTGTCTTCGGGTTGGGTTGGGGTGGTCTGGTGGGTAGTCAGAGGGCGTCCGCGTGTGGCCGCGGGAGCGGACCGCGCAGTCCCGCGCCCCTCGCGCAGGGGCGGGGCGGCGGGCCGTGCCTGGGCTCTGGTGCGGTGCCCGCAGGAGGAGGAGGAGGAGGAGGAGGAGGAGGAGGAGGAGGAGGAGGAGGAGGAGG